TTCAGATATTGGAGGACATGTTACGCGCTTGTGTCATCAATTTTAGGGTTCATGGGACCGATTTCTACCGCTCACGGAGTTTGCCTATAACAACAATTATCAGTCGAGCATTTAGATGGCTCCGTATGAGGCTTTATATGGAAGGAGGTGTAGATATCTAGTAGGATAGTTTGAGCCGGGTGAGGCTAGGCTCTTGGGTTCAGACTTGGTCCAGGATGCATTAGACAAGGTGAAATTGATTCAGGAGCGGCTTTGCACGGCGCAGTCTAGGCAGAAGAGCTATGCGGACAGGAAGGTCCGTGATGTATTTTTCATGGTCGGAGAGAAGGTTTTGCTGAAGGTATCACCCATGAAGGGTGTTATGAGGTTTGGGAAGAGGGGCAAGTTGATCCCCCGGTTCATTGGGCCTTTTGAGGTGCTTCAGAGGATAGGGGAGGTGGCTTATAAGCTTGACTTGACACCCAGATTGTCGAGTGTGCATCCAGTATTTCACGTTTCTATGCTCCGGAAGTATATTGGCAATCCGTCCCATGTTTTGGACTACAAAACAGTTCAGTTGGATAGTGATATGACTTATGATGTGGAGCCGGTGGCCATTTTGGAGCGGTAGGTTCGGAAGTTGAGGTCAAAGGATATAGCTTCAGTGAAGGTGCAGTGGAGAGGTCAGCCTGTGGAGGAGGCCACCTGGGAGACCGAGCGGGAGATGTGGAGCAGATATCCACACCTATTTGAGGCTCCAGGTATATTTCTAGACTCGTTCGAGGACGAACGTTTGTTTAAGAGGGGGAGGATGTAACGACCCGACCGGTTGTTTCGAGAGTTATAGCCCTGTTTCCCCTATTTCTACTTCTTTTTGTGTTCTTCAACTATATTGTGATATACCGGGCTAGTTGGTTCGGGTCCGGAGTGGTTTCGGAGTGAATTGAGATACTTAGTCTCTTTATTAGAAGTTTAAGTTGGAAAATTCAACCAGATATTGACTTATATGTAGACGATCTCGGACTTGAACTTTGATTTTCGTTAGCTCCGTTAGGTGATTATGGACTTAGGAGCGCGTCCGGAATGTGATTTGGAGGTCCGTAGGAGAATTAGGCTTGAATTGGCAAAAATTAGAAATTTGGCGATTTTGGATCGGTAGTGGAAATTTTGATATCGGGGTCGGAATGGATTTTCGGAAGTTGAAGTAGGTTCGTGGTGTCATTTTTCACGTGTGTGTAAAATTTGAAGTCATTCGAATGCGGTTTGATAGGTTTCGGTGTCGGTTGCGGAATTTGGAAGTTTAGAAGTTCCTAGGCTTGAATCCGAGGGTAATTTGGTGTTTTGATATTATTTTGGGTGATTCGAAGGTTCGACTAAGTTTGTAGGGGGTCATATGACTTGTTGGTATGTTTGGTTAAGGTCATGAGGGCCTCTGGGTGATTCCGGGTGGTTAACGGAAGAATTGGAGTTGATGAAATGCAGCTTAAGCTGCTGGTTCTGGTGTCTTTCGCACCTGCGGAGTGGGAAACGCAGGTGCGAGGCCGCAGGAGCGAAGGAAGTGCCGCAGGTGTGGCTAAGGGAGACCTGGGATCAGACCGTAGGTGCGATGGAAATCCCGCATCTACGGTGGTCGTAGAAGCGGTTTGGGAGGCGCAGATGCGCAGATGGATCATAGGTGCGGCTTGGGTTCCGCATCTGCGATGACCGCAGATGCGGTCAAGTGATCGCAGGAGCGAAGTCAGGCTTTTAATGAATTTTCGTAGAAACGGAGCCCGGTTCGCAGATGCGGTTCCGTAGGTGCGGATTTAGGACCGCAGGTGCAGTTTTAACTGGGCAGAAAACTCCAGCTCGAGGTTTTGTCATTCATTTTCAATTTTGGACTTGAAAAACTCGGGAGAGAGGCGAGTTTTCGAAGGTTTTCAAAGAACAACGTTAGGGTAAGTGATTCTAACCCATAATAGTATAAATTTCGTGAATCCATGGCTTTATTCATCATCTAATTAGGGATTTGAGCTAGAAATTTGGGGAGTTTAGGGCTTGAGAATTGGAGAGTGGATTTTGGAGATTTGAATGACCAAATGAGGTCGGATTTTGATAAATTGGTATGGTTAGACTCGTGAGTGAATAGGCTTCCAGGTTTTGTGATTTTTGTTGGATTCCGATACGTGGGCCCGGGGGCCGGGTTTGAGCCGATTTCGGATTTTGGCTATAATTTGGTATTTTTCTTGTGGGATTGATTTCTTTAGCCTATATTGATCGTATTGTATTACTTGTGACTAGATTAGGGACGTTCGGAGGCCGAATTGAGAGGCAAGGGCATTCCGGAGTAGGACTTTGCTTGGTTTGAGGTAAGTAACATTTTGAAACTTGGTTCTGAGGGTTCGAAACCCAAAATTATATGCTACGTGATTGGTATTGAGGTGACGCACATGCCAAGTGACGGGCGTGCGGGCGTACACCGTGAGAATTGTGACCTGGGTGATTTCATGGCACCGTTTAGTGACTCTATCCTTTTGATATCCATGTTTTCATCAGGTAATAAAGTAGTTGAGCTGTAGATCATGCTAGATATCATGTTTAGACTTTGTGCCGGTATTGGTTGGACCCTTAGCGATCGTTTCTTGCTGTCATCTCACTAGTTTCATTTACTATTCCATACTCAGTCATGATCATGCATTTTTCATATATATATCATGTCTCTGTCTCAGTTATTTATTGATTCATCGTATCATTTTCCGGGTTATTTTCATGATATTGTGAGCCTGTGGTGAGACTGGAGAGGTTGATGACTGAGTGAGGCCGAGTGCCTGGTTATGAATGACAGTTATGGGATCGGGCTGAATGCCGCGGCGGTTATATTAATGATTATGATAGCACTTGGGCTGTAGGAGCCCCTCCGGAGTTTGTAACACACACCCAGTGAGCGCGGATGATATTATTGAGGGGTGGATTTTCGTGGACATGGATTTGTCCGAAGAACTTGATACCTGGAGATGGATTTCTCCACAGGGTTGAATTACCCGTGTTCCTCGGTACTGGGTGACTTTCAGTCAATGTTGTATATATTCCGGGATGGATTTCCATGGGCCGGATGGCCATATACAATACCGAGTGGTTGAGCACTGGAGAGTGGGAGTATATGGTGCATTTCATACGATCGGTGCATTAGCATGTAGAGGATACCGAGTTGTATACTATGCACTGTTCAGATCTGCATTTACTTAACTGCCTTACACTGTATATTTGACTTGAAAGCATGCCTACGATTCTACGTATTTATTTCTATTATATCTATTGAGGTTGAGTCGTCACTACCTTTCAGTCCAAAGTTTGGACTTGTTACTTACTGAGTTGGTGTACTCACGTTACTCCCTGCACCTTGTGTGCAGATCCAGGCATTTCTGGTCACGGCAGCGGCTGCTGGTTTTTCTGCATTTGGAGTCAGGGATTATTGAGGTAGCTGCACGACGTTCGCGGACCTTGATTTTTCTCTTCCTTGGTTTATTTATACTTTTGAGTTTATTTCTATAGACATTTTTGTGGACTATGTTCAAGTTATTAGACGCTCATGTACTCAGTGACGCCCCGATTGTTGGGACAGTTGTATTGTATTTTGGGTAGATTCTGTATTCAAATGGGCTTTTATTAATGTTAAACCCTTTCGCTGTTAATTTCAAAAGATGTTTTTATTGTAATGGAGAAAATATTGGATTTAGGTTTGCCTAGTTTGACGATAGGCGTCATCACGACATGTTAGGTTTTGAGGTCGTGACAATAATATTTACATTAAGTTATATATAGTAATAATGTAATAGTAATATTTATATATAAACAGTGCAATTTGAACTTTTAGTTGTTGTGGATACGATACATTTATTTGCTAAAAGAAAGGATGCACTACATTTTCCCGCTGCCGAAACATTTAACAAGCAACTCTTTTTAGCTGACTTCTATCTTGACACGATTTTGTACTTCATATGATTACTTAAGTTAGACCGCGTGGCCTCGCTATAATAACATCTTTATATAATAATATTCACTATAAAAGTCAAGTTGTTTTGGAACCAAATGTCATATTTTGTTATAGTATATGTTCTCTATAACATCAAAAAATGTCCGAAACAAATGAGTTTGTTATAGGGATATTTAACTGTATACACTGTACACAAGTTACAAAAACTTTTATGTTAACCAATTGTGACAGATAACAAAATAATACTGGTGGGAAATTTAATCCAACAAAAAGAATATTTCTTAATTGTTAGAGAAAAGCCTATTTTACAGTTAATAGACTTGTATAATTTGTAAAAATAGTTTATCGATGTAAAACTTCCGCCCCCCTTTAAATCCTTTAATCGAATATTACAGCTCATCATATGTAAGAACCAGACAAGGATAATATTCTAAGTCGAAACTCTCAGGTGACATCGATCAAGAATGGCACAAAATATGACGAATAATTAAGCATAAAATGTATCAGCAACAATTGTTACTTGTTAGTAACACGTTTAATGCATTAATCATCAGGACTGATGAGAAGCTAACCTATAATCTTCTAAGTATTTCCCTTCATTTTCAACTGAAAAAGGACAAAATCTTATAAGCTAAGGTTTCGTTGACGAGAATCAAAAAAGATAGCGAAAATCAGATGGAAACTAGAAAAAGAAGACAGAAACAATAAGAGAAAAGGGATAAAAAGCTATAGTTTGAGAATGACATAAAACTAGAATAGCAATTATGCAAGAACCTCAGTAACTGAAAACTAACACCTGGGACATTGAAATACGTACATAATGGTCGATCAATGGCTAAAATGAGAACCATTAAACATTTTTCAAAACATACCGACCAGAGATTATAATAATCTATCCATGATTAAAAAAAAACAGTAGAATATAAGAGTACAATTCCACCAGACCGTCTTAGCAAATCTCATTTATACAAAATGACTAAAATGTTGTATCACTTGAAACATGTCACCAAATTAAAGGACTAAACGAGAGACAACGTGGGTAGCATTATCAAAAGAAGGTATTGTTAAAGGTTCCTTGAGAAGATAAAACCATCTCCATCAAATCAACTTCCACCTTATTGTTTCCTCCAGAAGAGCAACCAGATGCTTGATTCATCATATAAGACGAACCATCTAGAAGGTACGAAAGGTAAATGTCAGGACAATAATAATGTTGATTAACCTCTTTGGTATTATAGTCAGGCATGTAATTCCCAACTTCGTCTGTGACCTTTTCTGTACTAGCAGTACTGTAACTCCCAACGTTACCCTTAGCCAGTGGAAAGGAATTGAATGCAGAAGAGATCATTGATGAGTTGTTGTCAAAAAGATTTTGAGTTTCTTTTGCCTCCTTGGAATGATCAATGGCTTTATTATCACATAGTATGAGTGAATTCTTTCCAAATAAATTTTGCATGAAGTTCATTTCTTCATCACATGTTTGATGAGTGATCAAAGATAGAGCATCATCATCAGTGTATGGTGGAGTTGCATTTGTGTTTGTACTATTACTCGGTGTGACGACTGTCGTGGCGGTGGAACTGCCACCACCAGAACCACCGCCACCGCCACCGTAGAACGAGGAGGCGGTGGGAGAAGAATCATCAGTGAAGTACACGCTTCTTATATAATCTTGGAAAAAATTGGAGCCTTCTTTTTGGCCGCCATCTTGTTGATTTTTTCTCTTCTTATTTCTCCTTGAATTCATCCTTCTTTTCGTGGCATTCCAATGGTTCTTGATTGAATTTTGAGTCCTTCCAGGAATTCTCTTAGCAATTTCTGCCCATTTGTTTCCAAGTTGCTTATGTGTTTCCACTAACAGCAATTCTTCTTCTTCACTCCATGTATCTTTCTAAAAGAAAAAATATAGTAAATATAAATGAGAATGAAGATGTTCATAATTTACAAGAAAATCTATAACTTTTTTCAATGAGGTAGACTCACTTTTATAACAAATTTTGATGCTTTGTCAAAGAAAAGTTTCACTTGTCACGTGAAAATGGAGGATTGGAATCAGTCAAGCATTGCGAGAAGAATATTGAAATAAATATTAGTAGAAAAAACAAACTCTAAAAATGCCTTTTTGGAGGAAATCCTTGTGACCAAAAAGGTAAGAGCATAAAAGCTAATTAAGCAAATCGAAAAAGACATCTTCCACAAAAAACTTTAGGTCCAAGCTTTAATTCCCCACCAAAAAAAACAAATCGAGAGAAAATCTTCAAACATCTGAAGTTCTATAGGTTACTTCTAGTCCTTAAAAAACATTAAGAAAAAATTGTTTTCTGATAGAGGGGGCATTCATTACCAAAAATAAAACAACTTCTTTCTAGGGGATAAAAACCACATAATTAAGGGGCTTGAAAATCTTTGGAAAAGTATTGGTTACTGGATCAGATAAAAATGGATGGTAATCTTAATGATTAAACATCACCCAAAATCTAGAGCGAATTTAGATGACCTTTGCAAGTATCTATTGAAAATTTAACACTTCTATTTGGTTAGAGACTAAAAATCACTTGATGAATACGCAGTTAGGGAAGTACAGTATTAGAATAAATTAATAAAAGAATTTAAAAAAAAAAAAATTCAGAAGACGAGGGAAAATTATCAGAACAAAAAATAGAGGAAAAGAAAACCTTGATATCTGGATGGAAATGATTATGCCATCTCTCTCGACATTGTTTCCCTGCTCTAGCGTCCATCTTCTCAGCAATTTGAGCCCATTTCCTTTCTCCAAATTGTTTTACCAACCTAAGAAGTTTCCTTCATAATCCAAATTCCAAAAATAAAAAAATAAAAAATTATAGAACACTTCAGTTAATCTTAAGAATGGAAAAAAAAGAGAAAAGAAATGAACTTCTGGAAGTAACAAAGAAAATTCATGTTATTTTTTTTGGACAAGTATATTATAGTACCTGTCTTCTTCATCAGTCCACTGACCCTTGACCAAATAATTTTTTGTTGAATTGCCTTCTTTTGCCTTTTTCCAACTCTCCCTTTTATTTTTTTGAACTGTTTTCGCGTCTTCTATTAACCCATTCTCTTGTTCATTGAGAAAAAAACCTTCAATAAAGCTTGGGTCTGGTAAACTTATTGGCCAAGAAATCCCATTTGCATGGCTACTACTACTACTACTACTACCACTACTTGCATTTGCACCACTAAAAGGATAAAAATCATTTTCATGACTCAATAAGAACTTATCTATAGCAGTTAATGGCGGACTTGGTTTTGGTAAATTTTGATAGGGACGAAAAGCACTACCACTTTCCATGGAAAGGGAAGAATAAAAACGGAATGTTTTCAGCAATGAAATTTGCTTTGAATAAAAGGAAAGTGTTTTAGTTTTCTTCTTGTTTTAGAAGATAGGGTCATGAGCTTTTAATACTATGGCTTGTATAGAGCAGCTGAGGGGCAACGACAACCGTTGATCTTAGAACTCATCCAACGGTTCAGAAAGGAGGTGGGCTAGCTATATGCCTCCTGAGCTTCCTCTTAGTGTCAACAATAGAAAGAAATGTGGAGAGATTAGTGCTGTCATTAATGAATTATCATTAATGCATCAATTTCTATAATTAAAAAAAAGTTTAATTACTTGTGGTGAATTCATNATATATATATAGTTGAAATGTTTTTAGAGGGACGGGTAAATTAAAAGTATCTTACTTAATAAGGTATTTGGTGCTCTTAATTTTCTGCCTAGTAATAGAGGGAATTATGGATGATTTAAGCTCCATATTAATAGCTCTGCATTACAACTAAATGCTTACTCATTTGGAGATAACAAGACGACCTCTATGCTTAAAATTAATCACATTTTTTCTCCGGCTAGTCTTTTAGTACTGTTCATTATGCATCACGTTGAAAAGTCTAGGGTTTCAATATCATCAATCACTAACATAATTTGTTCTATTTTTGGACAACCATACGTACTACTACAAGAAGTGGCCATCCTTGAACTAGTTTTCTAGCACATTTTCATCTATGTAACTCATATTCTAGACATTGATAAAATTGTATTAAAAAGTCAAATTCAATTGAAATTACAAGATAATCATTACGATGTTTTCAAGAATGTGAGATGCTTGAGTCCGTGTCAAAAGGTGGTCTTATGCACGTAATATATATACACTTAGCGATTTACATCTAAATCTACATACCAAATTTAATGGATATCGAAAGCTACAGTAGGGAGCAGGGAAGAATTAATAAACATCGTAATTTTTTATTTAACAACTTCATAATATTCTTACTTGATTAATAATTTTCTGTAATCATAGGAGTATGTTTTTCTTCTTTAATTTGATAGTGTAAATAATGCATATAGTAACGACAGCTTAATAACATATATAAATGATACAGGAATGTTGCATGGAATGGCCAATAAGTTTTAAAAAAATTGCGTCATGAACGCAGAAAGTGTCTCGATTCTGCGTAAATGTATGGGGAAATTTCCATCGCTTTAACTCGCTATATGGCAATCTTTTTTATTTTTTTGTCTTTGGTACAAACTAATAGTATAACTTGATTAAAAACATTTTAAAGAAAAATAAAGAACATTATCACTTCCCTAAAGAAACATGTAAATGGCAAATGGGCTGTTTGGGTTGTATTTGGGCTGGTCAGGATGGGTTGACTCATTAAATGTTGTTGGGTTTAAGCCTCTTAGAGCTTAAAAGAGGGTAAATGGGAAATGGAGGTAAAAATGAAAATTTGATTTTCCCAATTTGGAGGAAGAAAAGACTTTTGATGGGTATATATATAATTGCTCTTCTTCTAGCTCTTAAAGAGTTGAGAAGAAGGCAAGCCTCGCGCCGTCATCATCGCTCGGCTTCGGCTTCCTCCGTTTTAATTTTCCCGTTATAATTTGAATTTGACGGTTTGCATAAATGGCCATTTTTATAAAACAACCATTTTAAGTTGCAGCCTTACTTGAAGAGTTGTAACTCTTCAGTATAACCCAACATTTTTTAGCTATAAATACATGAACACTCCCTTAGATTTTTCTTACGAAAAATTCTGAGGTCTCCTTATTCTTTCTGCATTGTTTTAACATAAAAGAAAACAGTATGTGTGATTTACTACTGCTCTTTGAGTTCGTTGATCACTGGGGTTTGAAGTACCGCTACACCGGTGAGGTTATCCGTTTTATCCTGGGAGAAAATAATCCTAAACCTCAGGTACTAGGAGGGGATTAAGTTCCTTAATGAAACATTGTGAATTCAGTGGGCTCGGATTCATTTTCTGTTCTTCTACATTTCTGATTTTTTCATTGCTACTGCTTTTGAATATATTTTCGAATACAGAGATATAACAAATGTGTCATTGTCCAATCCTATCCAAGGTTCACTTAGGTCAAGATGGCTATAAGAGTTTTTTACACGCTAAGTCACTTATTTAAAATTATTTATTTAAATAACATCACTTTTGATTTATTATAAAAATAGCAAATTCATTTACAAGTCTAGCACATTAAAGATTTAGAATTAAATGACTACAAAAATTTAAAATTCACTCATCCACAAATTAAGGGACCAATGGATACTTTCTCTCTCATCACCACTAACAATTTCTATTTTCTCTTTATTATTCATCCATATCTCTTTATCAAATTCTCTCCAGGTCTCTCCTCACTCCTTCTAGGCACCACCATCCTTATTCCATGACGGTAGTTAGGTTCACCAAAATCAAATTATAAGTGAGAAATGGCACAAGCTTTCTCGCAAAGTTTTTGGCGAAAAAATAAGGCACTTATATAAATTATGAATTATACCATATATGTTATATATACAATATATTATTGGTATATATATATTTATGTGTACCATTTGGTGGTAACTTATTTTACCGTACATGTTATATTCAAAATATATTATTGGAATATTTGTGTGTATTTTTCAAAATTAGAAGGTTTTATCGGTGTAAGTTTCTTACATTTATACATCTTTTATACGGGTTATAAAGTGATTGTACCCTAGATCCATATAGTGTATTTTTTATATTGCGGGATTCAGTATTTAAGATTTATATAATATGTGATTTGGATTTATATATATTTATTTCAATTCAAATATATGTGATGTATACATAGGGTATAATTAGCACCTCATAGAGTTTTGAATATGAAAGACACAAAGCAAAACTAACAATGTAACTTTATATACCATATATATTTCTACTATAAAATATTCAAATAATATTATTTATACCAATAATATTTTAATATATACTTAATAAAATAATTATTTAATATGCATATACCACTTACACATACGGTATGTGATAGCTATAGTGTCAATATTCCAACTATTTATCCAAGTATACTTCTTTATCCAAGCATAGTTGGAAGAGAGAGAAAAACTAAAAGCACATTCATAATCATTCTTGAATAGAGATAAAAGATAAGAAAAAGTCATTTATGAGTAGTGCGTGAAATCAATTGAGCTAAATATATAGCAATTTCCTAAAATCTAGTAACATGGGTAGGAGCTGTTACGAATTTTTATTATGAATGTAAATATGTAACTGCTAGAAATTTTAATTAAGTGCTACTGCTATGACTTTGTAAAAGTTTTTAAAATATTGCACAATTATGTTTTTTTCTCGCTAAAATAATGGGTTGTAACCCAACCCGCCCAAATAAACTCAAATCTTTGTAATATTATCAACTTTAAAACAATCATATATATAAATTATCTTATGTTTTGGAATAAATGTCAATTCACGCTTAATGATTTATTTCCTCAATTTAGATTCAGAACTTTAATTCATAGTTCTTCATCTTATAATACTAACAAAGATCATAATAATAAAGAAGTAGTAAAATTAGAACTTCTCACCTACCCCAAACCCAAACCTCTTCCCCACCCTAAATAAAAATATTATTTAAAGTACTTTCTTTTAATGTTATATATAGAGTATTTTCTTTTTCATTTCAACAAAATGAATATTTTCTTTTTATGACGTAGAAAAAGTATTTTCTTTCATTTCAATAAAATAAGTAACTTTTTTTTGATGATCCTGGAGTGTGATTCTATGCTTGTCGTTGATATGGTCAGAGGAAGGAGCAAACCACCATGGCATATGTTGGACACTATTAACCAAATTCAAGGCATTAGAAGATAACCCACTTGTTCAGTCCAGCACTGTTACTACGGAGAGGCTAATCAGGTTACGGATGCCTTGGCCAAATGGAGTCTCCAAAATAATGATCTACTAATTTCTTCTTCTTCTTCTGATCTACCTCACTACGCTAAAGGTCCATATAGAATGGACTCCTTTGAAATGGTTTCATTCAGGCACAAGCACAAGAGGTTTGCGTTTTCTTGATCTATTTGAATTGTAAAGGCTATGTAAGTACACCTTATTTTTGTGAAGTTTTGCATATAGCCTTTTTCGTAGATGTCTGCTGACTGATGCAATCTTACATAGTGGTAGAAGATAGATGTTTCGGAATTGGTTTAATCCAGTCCAGTGTGTACTTTGTTATAAATTCTACACAATTTATCATAAACAACATGCATGTGAACTAACAATGTTGAAGAAGAAGAGGAGAAGAAATGGGAGATGCAGAAAGTGAGATGGAGAAGAAGAGCTGAAAGTGTTATTTCATATGTCTAGTACACGTGAGTGTGGTCCCCTTTATACACCATATGGCCTACTCTAACTAACCATTCTTATTTATACTTTAGTCCCTCAACTAGTTACTTAGTACACCTCAGTCTAGTCTCTATAACAATACTCCCCTTCAAGCTGGGGGGTGAAACACATTGAGCACCCCAAACTTGGACAGAAGAAAATGGTATTGTGATAAACCCAAGCCTTTGTTCATGAGATCAGCCAGCTTCAAACTGGTAGAGATGTATTGTGGTGCCAACTTCCCATTCTTGATATTCTTTAGAACAAAATGACAATTGATCTCGATATGCTTAGTGTGTTCATGGAATATAGGATTAGCAGCTATTTGCATGGTTGCTTTACTATCACAGTATAAAGACACCGGCTGCTGAATCTGAACCTGTAGTTCCTTAAGCAATCCTAAGAACCATGTGATTTATGCAGCTGCTGCTGCTAAACTTCTGTACTCTGCTTCGGCTGAGCTTTGACTGACAGTTTGTTGCTTCTTTGACTTCCATGAAAGTAAAGAATCTCCCAGTTTGATGACATACCATGTGACAGATCTCCTGGTATTAGGACATGAGGCCCAGTCTGAATCACAATAAGCAGACAATGTATCTATGGTCCATGTCCCTAGCAAAATACCAAGGCATGGTGCTACCTTTACATATCTCACCACTCGCAATGTTGCATCCCAATGAGATTGTTTGGGATGTTGCATGAACTGACTAAGTACCTGGACTGCAAAACTGAGATTTGGCCTGGTGATGGTCAAGTAGAGCAACTTACCAATAAGTTTCTGATAGCTCCCTATGTCCTCAAGTTCTTCATCTCCATTTACCCCTACATGCTTGTTATATTCAACAGTGGTCAACTTCTGGTTAAGCTCTATTGGGGTGGAGATTGATTTAGCTCCTGCAAGCCCAACTTCTGATATCAACTGAAGTGCATACTTTCTTTGCGTGAGCAAGATCCCTTTCCTTGATCGTAGAACCTCAATACCAAAGAAATATCTTAGCTCCCCTAGATCCTTAGCTTTAAAGGAATTGTGTAGTGTCTATTTGACTTCATCTATCAGTTCTGCACTGCTCCCAGTGATAAGCAAGTCATCCACATACACTAAGATAACAACAATGTCAGATTTTGTGTTCTTAGTAAAGAGTGAATGATCATGAGCGCTCTGATGATATACTACTTACACAAAAGCCTCAGTCAATTTGATGTTCCATTGCCTTGAAGCCTGCTTAAGACCATATAGTGATTTAAGTAGTTTGCAGACCTTATACTCCCATTGTCTCTGGAAACCATGTGGTAGTTCCATGTAGACATCTTCATAAAGATCCCCTTGCAAGAAAGCATTATTGACATCCATTTGAAACAAATTCCATCATATAGAGGCTGCTATGGTAATGACTATTCTCACAGTAACCATTTTGGCTACAGGAGAGAAGGTCTCATGATAGTCCAATCCTTCTTGTTGTGTATAACCTTTTGCCACTAACCAAGCCTTGTATCTTTCTACTTCCCCATTTGCCTTATACTTTATCTTAAACACCCATTTGGATCCTATGGCTATTTTTCCTGCAGGTAGGTCAACAATTTCCGATGTTGCATTGTCCTCAAGAGCTTTAATCTCTTGTGACATTGCTTTTACCCAGTTTTTATCCTAGCAAGCTTCTTTGAAGTTCTTTGGTTCAGTTGTTGCATAGAACACACCCAAATAGGCCTTGTAATTGGCTTACAAATGAGAGTAGGACACAGTGTTTGAGATATAATGAGGATGATTCTGAGTGTTTGAGGTTGTACCATAGTCTTTCAGCCATATGGAAGGTCTTGCAATACTGCTAGATTTCCTGACACCAGCTTCCTCAGTAAGTACTTGATCCATATGTGATTAGCTTGTGTCTGGATTTGTGACTGGTTGCAATCCAACTTGTTCTATAGGCTGGTGCACATCAGAAGTATCAACTGAATCCACTGTGTTCTCAATGGGTTCTAGTGTCTGAGTGTCTGTTGCAGCTGTTGATTCCATGGCTGGTGCAGGTGAGACATGATCATGGGCAGGTTCAATTTGATCATGGGTTGTAGAGAAGTTTGAGTCTTCATTGGTTGCATGTTCTTCACTAGAAGAACCCTGCACAATTGTTCAAGCAGAAGGTCATTTGTGACAGGATGTTCAGCACATGAAAATATGTCTTCGGTGATCTGAGTTCCTTCCCTGAAAGGAAACACTTGTTATCTGAATGAGACATCTCTACTAATGAACGCTCTTCTGCTATCTAAATAATACAACATGTACCCTTTTTGTATTTCTAGGTATCCTATAAGGACTGACTTTCTTGCTCTTGGAGCAAACTTGTCACCACCAGGCAAGTTACTTGCAAAACACAAACAACCAAACACCCTTAAGTGTTTTATCTTTACTAGTTTGTTATGCAGCACTTCATATGGACACTTCCCTTACAGCACTTCTGTGGGTAGCTTATTAATCAAATATGATGTTGTTCTTATACAATCACCCCAAAATCTCATTGGCACTGAACTTTGGAACATCAGTGCCCTTGCAACTTCTAGGATATGTCTATGCTTCCTTTCCACTGTGCTATTTTGTTGAGGTGTATATGGACAGCTACTCTGATGTATAATTCCCAAAGATGTCAATAAATCATTGCACTGAGAATTAAAGAATTCACTACAATTATCTGACCTCAACACTTTCACAGTTATACCAAACTGATTCTTTATCATAGCAAGAAAGTTTTTTATTACAACTAGCACTTCACACTTTGATTGAATCAAACATATCCAGGTATATCTACTGTAGTCATCTGCAATGGTAACAAAATAATGCTTTCTATCATATGTGGACACTCTATGGGGGGCCCAAACATCTAGGTGAACAAGCTGAAAAGAACTATTAGAGCTTGTATTATTTGAAGAAAACTTTAACCTACATTGTCTAGCTAATGGACAAACATGACAATTCTCTTGCACCTGCATATCCACCTTATTCTTTAACTCGGGAATATGTTGCATTGACTTCAATTATGCATGTCCTAACCTCAGGTGCCAGATTTTACTTTCTGCTCCTTTGTTTATAAAGAAACCTGCTGCAGCTACTGTTATGTTCTCCTTTAGCAGATACTATCCATTGTGCTCTCTACCAATCCCTATCACCCTGCCACTGTAAAGATCCTGAAACATACAGAAATTAGGAAAGAATGTGGTTGAGCAACTGAGATCTTTGGTGAGTTTTGATACTGACAACAGATTAAATTTAAAATCTGGTACATATAAGATATTTTTAATTATCTTATTCCCTAGTATAGATGCTTCTCCATTGTGTGTTATTTGTGCCTTATTTCCTGTGGGTAATTGTACTTCATTCCTTCCTTGATCATCAGTTCTTCTCATACTACTCAGAATATCTTTACAATATATGACATGATGAGTTGCTCCTGTGTCTATCACCCAATCACACATACCTGCATTTGCTAGCAAGGAAATTATACATGTCATGTTTGTGGAACATTCTGGTGTTGCTGGTTTTGACAAAAGCTTGACAAGCTGTTTGTATTGTTCTTCTGTGAAGAATTGTTCATTCCCCTGCACTTGCACAGCTTTTTCCCTGCCTTCCTTATTGTTTACATTCACACTGTTGGTATAAACCTTTCCTCCTCCAGTCTGATTTTTTCTCTTGCTTTTGAAATCAGCTGGATTGCCAATTATCTTAAAACAGTTTTCCTTAAGGTGACCTTTGTATCCACAATGCTCAAAAATGATCCTTGGCCTTTTACCTTTAAAGTCTTGACCCCGTTCCTCTAGCATGGTGAGTGGTTCCCTATGTGTATCAACCACACCTAAGGACCTTTGACTCTCTTCCTGAGTAACTATTGCATACGCTTCATTAACAGTTACTACAGGTCTTTTTGCTAGTACATTACTCCTTATGTTACTATAGCTTTCATTTAAGCCCATAAGAAACTGCAGCAAACGTTGTGACCTTAAATGTTCAACTGAAGGTCTAGCCTCCTCACAATCACATGAGGACAGAGACACTAATACATCAAGTTCATCCCACAAATCCTTCATTTTAGAGAAATAGGTAGTTACAGAGTCAATACATTTTCTTAATGTTACTATGGTTGTCCAAAGGTGATAGATTCTAGTAAGATCTGATCTATCAAACCTCTCCTGGAAATACTCCATACTTTTCTCGCATTTGAAGAAAAGACAATGCTTGGCATCAACTCACTCGATACAGTGCTTCCAATCGATGACAAAACGATTGCATTGTATTTTTTCCACTGCTCTGCCAATTCGCCTCTATACATGCTCTTCACACAAGTTTCGTCCACAAACCCCAGTTTACTCTTTCCCCGGAATGCCAACTTCATCGCCCTGCTCCACAACGCGTAATTTTCGGGCCATGTGAGCTTGAGCGATATTAGGACAAGTCCAGGAGCATCTGAGGGTTGCAAAAATAGCGGATGATTATGATCTAGTGAGGCGACCTCATTTCCAGCCATCGCTGATCAGATCGGAGTTCCGTCGAGTTTCGATTCTATAAATTTCTTCCTAATTCTGATGAATCTATGATCGCCTCTCTGATACCATGATAAATCCTACACAATTCATCAAAAACAACACACATGCGAGCTAACAATGTTGAAGAAGAAGAGGAGAAGAAATGGGAGATGCAGAAAGTGAGATGGAGAAAAAGAGCTGAAAGTGTTATTTCATATGTCTAGTACACGTGAGTGTGGTCCCCTTTATACACCACATGACCTACTCTAACTAGCCATTCTTATTTATACTTTAGTCCCTCAACTAGTTACTAATACACCTCAGTCTAGTCTCTATAACAATACTTTGAAGGTTGATTTGAATGATATAAGAAAGGGTCTCGCCGCCCGACGGCGAAATTACTTTTTAAAAAAGTACTTTCTTTTCATGATATAGAAAAAGTATATTCTTGTTCACAAAATGAATACTTTATTTTCATGTTGTAGAAAAGGTATTTTCTTTTGCTTCAACAAAAAGAGTACTTTCTTTTCATGATATAGAAAAAGTATTTTTTTTTTCACATAATGAGTAATTTCTTTTTCTGTTGTAGAAAAAGTATTTTTTTTTTCACATAATGAGTAATTTCTTTTTCTGTTGTAGAAAAAGTATTTTTTTTATTTCAACAAAAAGAATATTTGTTTTTCATGTTGTAGAAAGAATATTTTCTTTCATTTCAATAAAATGAGTACTTTCATTTATTTTATTGTGATACCTAAAAATAGCTCAGTATCCGTCCTTTATTGTATTGATATAAATTTTATTTATTATTTTTTCTGTTGTGATAATGTATTTCTTCTTTATTTTCAGTTTTTTTTCTCATGTTTGATGATTAGTTTTGTCAACAACAGTTAGTTAAATAAATCATTCGACGTCATAAAAGAAAATACTCATTTTGTTGAAATGAAAGAAATATTTTTTCTACGNGGTTGGTGAAGATGGGGAAGGTTGAAAAAGAGTATAGGAAAATGTCCCTTCTCTTGATAAAGAGAAATATTTTCTCCAATTGAAGAAAAATGAGTTCATAAAGAAAATATTTTTCAAACATTTAAATCAACCAAATATGGAAAAATTAGAATATATTTTCCAAAACATGGGTCAAGGTAGAACTCTAAGATTGAGCATTTCTCTGGGTCAAGGTTGGGCATCATCATGGGTCCATTTGGGCTGAAATTTTTGATGGGTTAACTTGGCTAGCCCAGAACAACCCATTTTTAAAATCGCTCTAACCCAAACCCATTAAAGCTTGAGCGGATTTGTGATCAAAATTATGGCGATCCGTCAGAATTTCTAGCCAAATCATGATAATCAACATAATATGATATGTACAAATATGATAATTACCAGGATTTTACCACAAATATGGTGATCATGTATAAATATGGAAATCATCCATAAGATGTTGTACTATTGGGTAAGACTTGCGCTTACAATAATTATGGTTTCTGGTCAAATTCTGACGGATCGCCAGAATTTTGATCACAAATCCTAATAAATTGCCATAACTTGCCACAAAATTCCGGCAGTCGTGATAATTGTTATGCAGAAATTTATTATCATATTTTACTTCAAATTGGTCCAAATCAACTCTAAATGACTAAAAATTCCATATGCAATATTAGAATATCAATCCCAATAATTTTCAATAGTTAGATTCAACCTGAACTTTTCAAAAATCAATTGGCGTACTATGTCTTACTCAACAAGATTCGTTTCAAGCTCGACAAAACCCAATATTGATGATTTTTAATTTTCTCCAACCAAATCAAATTTGAATATAAGCTCAATGGAACATTATCACCTTCAATT